TACTTTATTTTCTCATGCTACAAATCCCTATTTTGACTCCATGTTTACAGTACCTATCCATTTTGGTGGAGTCAGAATAGGAATTTGTAGCTTGAGAAAATAATGCAGACACTATTGTCAGCCTTATTTGTTTACTTTATTATTATGGAGTTCCTAGTTATAGGCTTGAAAATAAAATCTTTGTATTTTGATTCAATTTCTTTCTGTACTTTTTGACGGGCCCTATTCCCCTTTTTAGATTAATAATTTTTTAATTATTTTGTTTATCAAGTTTTTATGTCCATCAATGGAGAATAAAGTTTAAGCTACATACGAGTATATGCATTCAGTTAAATGTTACATGTTTTTCAACACCTTACTGCTGCACCAAACCATTATTTACTGAGCCAGGTAGTTTTGTGCCTGAGGTTTCGTGAAACAGGCGTTTAATAAGCTCGAGTACAAAGGAAGCCGCTCACAACAACATCGCATATCCAGGTAAATAAAGTTTCAATGAAAAATAATCAACTTTTTAAATAGGTCATGGGCATTCGCACTGTTTCATATAGCATATCTGTTTAGATTTTGGTGCAAAATACTCAGCCAATTTTGCTGTAGGTTTTTGAAACAAAAATATGAATAACAATAATAATAAAATAATACTAAAATACGCACTAACAATTTCAACGAAGTGCGGCTCCCCAGTGGCAAGTCTGCGGACTTACAACACTAGAAACTGGGTTTTGATACAGACAACCATTGTGTAGCTTTGTGCTTAACTTCAAAGAAGTGAAGTGTGAAATTAATCAGTAGAATAAATCACTACTAAGAAGTGTAGAGAAATCTACCATGATAATCGTCCACTGTTAGAAAACACACTGAAACAGCCATAAAATACCACGTAGAGACAAAGTACAACAGTGAACTCGAGAAATGACGAATCCTCAACGTGGCAGTTTACAATTAATTAAAACACCAGATTTTTCAATGGTTAAAAGTGAAGGACTTAGGGAACTTCTTCAGGGAGAATAAACGAAGGCGCTTGAATTAATTTTAAAACTACCCTATGACATACTCAATACTATTATCCAGGTTTCAGTAAAATATTTGTAGCCTTTTTACTATAGCGGCTTGTAAAACTATAATAAATAATAAGGCTGGAGACACTGTTATAAATATACACATTGTTTACTCTAATAAAACGAAGCGTTTCCCGGTAGTGTAAAATGGAGCATTTCCGACTAGTATAATGGTGTTTAATTAAATGGCTTTTATATTTCTGCAATGTTTGAAAGGCTTCAAAGAGCTTATGTTGGTAGCGAAGAAGAACTTTGAAAATTATAGAGCATGGAAATCTCGACTTTCAAGAACTAACTTTAAAATAGTCTTACAACTTTCGCATGAGTTTGTTTACTAGCTGTGCATAGGTTTTTGCACAGTGTACCCAACTGTTTTTCCTGTACGCTTTGATGCTTGTATGGCTTCGAAATAAGGGAGAGACAAACTCGAAACACATTAAATGAGTTAGATAGCTATATGCATTCCAGGCGTTGATCAGCGCCAAACAGACGTGATTCTGAATGAGAATACAGTGAATGTTTATCTTGAAATTAGTCACGAGACAAAGCAACCATTATAAAAAATGATCAATGGAACTTAAAAAATTGACAAGTGAAGTAGCACTTGTGAAGAGACCAAAGTCACACTGTTTGTCTCTATACGCCCTGAGTTAGTAGTCTCAGGTGTTTAGGACAGGGTTATCAGATAATAATCGGAAGATTGTTCTTCATGAATCACTTAACAAGTGGTTATGGTTGTGTGAACGATTCCACTTATGCCAATGAAGTTAAAGGAACTACTTGTGAAAGTAGATCTGCTGAACTTCTTAAAATATCGTAAAGACACAGAAAATTGTGTATAAAACATCGTGTTTCCATTTCTAAAATCATCTTGATCCAGATTAGTCAGTAGATCTCTTATCATGGGTGTACCCCAGACTTTAGAAGACATCTATCGCACAAACTCCTTGTAAGTGTACTATATAATGTATAATGTCTGAAGAGAGAAAAGTGAAAATACTAATTGTATTGAAAAAGTAATAAGACTAGTAACGGTTACCATTGGATTACTAAGAGAAATATAGTGGAAGAATTGTTAACCCAATTATGTAATAAACACTATGTCTGAAAGAATTTCTCGTATTATTCTGGTTGATAAACTATTCAATCTTCTAGTCATGTTAATGAACACAGTAGATAGTTTAATTAATGAACATATAAACATATAGAACGAAAAGATTGATAGTTTTAAGTTTGAACAGTTTCAAGTTAACTTTTGATATAGAGGATTTATTAACAGTCTTTTAAATAAAATATATTTTTATGTTGTATTATAACCATCTTTGTGTGAGTTCTTTTTTTTCACATGTAAAGGCTTGCTCCACTCGCAACTGCATAACCTGGATTAGAATAAATTCACTTGTAACTGGTGTGAAGTTGAACCCAACAACTACGCCCATGAACCACTCTGTTACAATACTTAAGGTGACCATCTTACACCACCTTTCCCTACATCAGTCCTTTGGTACTCAGGATCATTGACGTGGACCACATAATTAAACTAAGACTTTAATAATTTAGAGCTCAGGAGCAGACGATTAGATCACAGAACAATACTAGTAAAACAATCTGCTAGTGCTCAATACCTGAGGCTTTAGTAACAAAATAACACAAATTAATCTAAGAGTTAAAAGTGACATAACCAAGTGTGGATATTTAAACTGTATTGTTTCTGATTAACAAAAAAATATTCTTACATTATTGCAAAATCTGAAAAACATGAAAATACTTGAAAAACAATGTAAAAATATATATAAATTGGTAAAAGTATTTGCAAGAATTTTTATTATTTTCTGTACCATTTTCAGCATACTTCTGTTACTTACCATGAAATATTTGGTGTTTGGATTCATTGCTTATTTCTGTCTGTAGCTCCTCATTTTGTTGACATTTTTCTTCATTCTGTTGGGAATGAGCAATCCTTATATGTTGTGTAAGGTCCTCTAGTGACATAGGAGGAAGAATACACTTTGCACAGCTTGCTGTATACTCGTTTTTTATGTCTTTAAGACCACTTGTTTCATGCTTTCTATTATTATATAAAGTCAACATTTTGAAACGCTGGACAGACACACCACTTGTTCCACTTCCAGTTATATTATCAGTGTTTGTTGGAAGAATCCATTCAAGTGGAATTCCTGCAGAGTGAAGGTACCATGAAGCAAAGTCCTGACAGTTTTTAAAGAAAAGCCAATAGTTTCCAAAGTTCTTTATAATTTTAAATGCAAGTTCAAGCAAGTCTTTAAATGTATTTTTCCTAACCCCAGGAAACCACTTAACTGAGTCTACGTAGCCAGTTTCTGGCTTGATTCTTTCAAAGTTAAACTTCACTGATGATGTATTCATATGATGATTATAAACATGTTCAGCATAGTTTTGAAACGAAAGAAACAATTCATCACAACAGCAGTAAGAGATATTTTCAACAACATCATTTTTGTTTAGAAAAATATGGTGTTTAGAGTGATGATGCCAAAGTTTACTAAGAGACGAATACACTTCTTGGCAGGATACGTCAGGACATGTAAAATATTGTAAACTACATGTATTTTCTTCTATAACTAACTCCAATTTAAAAGTTGTATCATTTTCTTTACATTTAAGAACCACTACATCATGACCACTTTTACCTCGTCTCACTCCAAAACTCACATCTACTGAGAAGTCAGTATTTAGTCCAGTTCTTAGCACTACCTCATGTCCGTTGTTTAAACACTTCATAAGATCATCTGGTGAAGCAGAAGGCACATGCACCTTTACATCCCCTGTTCCAGTTTTTATTTTGTCTCCACCTACACCAATACGAAATATTGACAAATTTAAGTTGTAAGGGTAAATTTTGAAGTATATATTTTGTGATGTATGTTTCAGTCATTCATGATAGTCAAAAACATGCAGGATAAAAAACAATAATAAATCATATCTAAAATAATTGAAAAACATAAAAGCCAGGCACGTTTGACAGGTCCATCTATTGAAAGTGTTATTTTACATAAAATTGATGTTTTAATCTTTTATATTATTTGACATTACCTACAAAAAGAAAATGAATAAAGAAACATAAAATATTAGTATTGTATATAATCAAATAAAAATGTTAAATAACAATTTATAAGGATGCAAAACCACATTTTAAATTATTTGTATTAGTGGATAGAATATTTGTAGTTTGGTTAATGTAGCAATAAGTTTGCAGATTATAGAGTTTGTGTTACCTGTTCAAAGCCTTTTGGTAGGAATAAAGCTTGTCTGACACTACAACACAAAATTGTTGTAAACTTCTTGTTTCCTCAGTACACAATAATTGTAAAGCACTTGTTTCCTCAATACACTTCAAATGTAAACTATGTTTCTTCAATACACTTAAAATGTAAACTGCTCGTTCCCTCAGTACACTGTAACCGCCATTTAATGTGCAACGTTAGGGTGCCAAGTATGTTGTTATATTCTATATCAATGTCTGTTCAGTGAAAAACGTTTCATCCGATGCCTTTTCTCTACTCGTCTTCTTTACCTTTTTCTTCCTTTTTGAATCAAATTTCATTTCCAGTGAGGCCTTTTGACAAACTGAGTTGCCAGAAGTTTTATTTCTTTCATACTAGCACCTGTTTGGAAGCTTATTCGACTGGACTGTCTGAATTTTGTAAAATTTTGTTGACACGATATATATGGTTTTACATTTCGTCCTATATCACAAGGAGGTAAACGAATTTAATATTTATCTGTTTGAGAAGGAAGGTTCTGGGCAAGGGAAATCCTGTCCCCTGACTGAAGGTTTTCAAACACCTCTAATAATGCATGTAATATTAATACAGCCTCAAGTTGAATGGCCAGTGAGTGAATTGCGTTGTATTTAGAAGTCCATCTCATATCTCCATCTATCCAGGTGTGTACTTCAATACTTTGGTCGAAATTTTCCAATGGGTAGTTAAGCATGAAATGAAATTAAAAAACTGTTGGACTCTACCAGAAAACAAAATCATGTTGACCAAAATAGCTGCCACGTTAACATCAACTAAGTTTCAGATATATTTAATGCATAGTACAAATCTCGCCTGCTCGTTAGCTTACTATAAATGCTCTTGTAATCATTGATATTTCCCGGCCATGTTAGCTCCATTGTCACATCCCTAACCTCAGTAATTAACAATATCTAGTCTGTCGTTAAGCGGTTTTTGTTGAATGTTTGTTGCATGCCCACTTCCAGTTTTTTCATATGTATTGATAAAATCCAATTAACCATCCTCAATGACGTGTATACCTCGTTTGTTGTACTTATATTGCGAGATAACAAATTCTACTTTTACTTTTGTTATGGTTTTGTTTATTGTTCATTTTTTATTCCTTCCGCCGTTTAAGTTCAACTACGAATTGTTAATTATATTAAAGTGCTAACTCACCTTCTAACTAAAGCACGTTGATTTTGAATATTTGTATTATTAAACTGACACAAGCTTCCCCTAGCGGTGACGTACAGATATTAATGTTGTGAAAGATTATGTAAATTAGCTAAGCACATGAGATGTAACCTCGTGGTCTAACCACTGAATAAAAACCGTGCCTTGAGCTTAAACAAATGAGCTCACGAGATGTAGTTAAACTTATTATTGTTGATTATTACTCGAGATTGTTATTGCTTTTGAAGTGATTTGATTTTGGAATATTGGCTTTTTTTTGGGAATTAGGTTTATTTTTTCTTCTTATTCGATTTTTCCTAATTCCTTTTATTTATTGAAATAGTTATTAACGTTTATATTTAAGTTGTTTTATTCATTAACATTACTATTAAGTCACGGCCGGGCACGTAATTATTAACTGTGTTTTTACTAAGTGATAAATTTCATATTCCAACTGATGGAAAGTTTGATTTTCTGTGATTGTCAAAGTTTAACAAAATCGTTTTTTATTCGACTCTGGTTATAGCGGCTGTTTTTTTTAACTGTTACAATATATCTAATAATTTCACACATGAATTTTATTGTAAAAGTAGATTGTTTGTCCTGTTTTGTTATGTGTTTGGCAAGAGTAGGATTATAATGATTAACTGGTTCAATTTAATTTCAAAATAACTCCAGAACGAGGATTTCCAATCTCGTTGCTTTTTTTGAATTGATTAATCTGTGAAATGTAGGTGATTTTATTTTCTTGTGCGAAAAGCAGAAATGGAAAATAATATATATCTTTTGTATCTTTTCTGTACATTAGCCATGTGCGCTCAACTTTTCACCGTTTGCAAAGACTTTAGTGAACCAATCTACTAAAAACTGCCTTTTATCAATAAGATTTTCTGAAAAATAAAATTGCATTTTTACCCTGTTCAGAACCGTGTTCGAATAAGCAGCATCTGAGTTTGTCATTCTTATCAAGCCTCTAAGATGGATCATTGTAATTCAATTTATGCTAATCCGCTTCCATATCTAAACTTCAGTTGTTTTCTTGATCTAAACTTTCATTAGCATCCTCATTTTTTTACCCTCCTTACTTTCCTCGGACTCAAACTACTTTTCGCTTTACGCAAAATTTTCTTTGGGATTTTCAAACTTGAATCGTCTGCTTTAGAGTCCGTAAAATAAGTAAAATATTACTCTCTTATAAAATGTCACGTATTTTTGCTAATATTTATTGCTCAAACTGCCGCCATCAATCAGACGGCGTGGCAAGAGCCACTCTCGGCCCTGTTTCTTCATACCCTTTAATTATAAACCACAGTAAGTGGACCAAGATTTCAGTACCATAATAAACTTTATAATTATTTTTTAGTCTGAGAAAATGGAGAAATATGAAGTGAAAAGGTACCGGTTCTAATAACTCTGCCATCTTTACTACTAATATTTGATGTACTATTTCAAATTGTTTTGTTTTTTTATCAGGTGGCCAGGCAAGGTTAGGTGGTTAGGCGCTTGACTTGCAATCTGAGGGTCGTGGGTATGAACCTCCATCCCACCAAACATGCTCGCCCTTTCAGCAGTGGGGTGTTATAATGTGACGGTCAATCCCACTATTCATTGGTAAAAGAGTAACCCAAGAGTTGTCGGTAAGTGTTGATGACTAGCTGCTTTCCCTCTAGTCTTTCACTGCTAAATTAGGGACGGCTA